GTGCTTTTCTTCAAATGTCAAATCCACCTCTAGCACACTGCTTTGAAACCACATAAGGACACCTAACACTTTCCATATGGCAACTACATTGTAGCTTTTAATTGTACCAACTGGTATCATTCAAGCATAATTCCCCAGGAATCCAGCTCTCAGCAGCAACCCCAGCCAACTCTCTAATCTCATCACTGGCACTAATGCTTCCATAGACACTCTGATTGGGAATGAGCACACTGTAATCTCCCCAAACCAGAACTGTCAAAATGTGCTAGGTACACCACTAATTAAATTACCCTGCCTTCCTGGCATCAAAGTTTGAACTCCCTGCTTGGACTTTTCTTTGTCTACACTTTCAGACAGTGTACACCCTCCCTTGTCAGGCCACCAAGACCAAACAACAGCAGAAAGTAAGACCTTCAAAATAATGCAATTTAAGAAGTATAAAAGTACATACACACAAAGTCCTCTCCAACTTTGCTGAGATTTCATGGAGGAAAAAATTCACTTTTTTCTTCATGCTTAGCAAATACTTATCAATTTTACTCAAAATAAAAAAAGTATCATGCCTTATAGAGTACCTTATATTTTTGTATCTATCATCTTTTAACCTTTAAGATTAAAGTGGGCAGGGAAGGGGGGCAATTAGGTGGCAGCTAGGTGGCTCAGTGGATAGAGCTCTGGCCCTAGAATCAGGAGGACCTGAATTCAAATCCAGTCTCAGACACGATACTCACTAGCTGTGTGACCCTGGACAACTCTCTTAACCCTGTTTGCCTTGCCAAAACAAAAAAAAAAGATTAAAGTAGGGGCAATAGATAAAAACACTAGCCTGAGAGGTCAAAAAACTTGATTTTGTAGCCTTGGCTCTGCCATTTATTAATCATGTGACCTTGAGTCACTTATAGTACTTCTTGGAACCTCAGTTGCTACATCTGTAAAATGAAGATAATCCCTGCCCTGGCTAGTCCATGGAATTGTTGCAAGAGTCAAATGAGATAATGGACACAAAAGTCCTTTGTAAATTACTGAATGTTATATAAATAAAAGGGATTTTAAAAAAAAATTTATCTTCATGGCCCTATCAAGTAGGCAAAACAGTCTATTCCCATTCTGCAGCTGAAAAAAACTCAGGTATATTCTTTCAAACATTTGCTGAATACCTAAGTATAAGGCACTGGGAAGGATACAGTGGTGGGTTAGACATAGTTTCTGCCCTCTAGGAGCATGCAGTTTTATAGGATAAGCCATTTCATAAAGGGTAAGTGACTTACCTAAGGTCACTAACTTAGACAAGTGAATGACGGGGCCAAGACCAAAACCCCAGGTCTCCTGACTCCTGTCCAGCCTGTCTCTTTCACGATATACTACCTCTTACTAACCTTTTCCTTTAGTCGCAGGCTACTAGAAGGCAGAGAAATGCTCTTTGGGATCCAACTTATTTACTGCCTGCTCAGTGGCATGCCTGAGGAGGCTGTGTTTGAGGAACCCACCACACTTTTATTAATCCTTCTTAATTCTATTATCATCTCTGTTGTTTATTTCCAATTTGTCCCCTACAGAGCTTGCTTATTTATAGTTGTTCACATGAGGACTCCTCCGTTAGACTGTTAACTCCCTGAAAAAAGGTAGTGTCGTTTACCTGTCTTTATATTCTCAGTACTTTGCATAGTTCCTAGCGCACAGGAGGTGATTAATAAATGTTTATTGACCGACTAGCTGATGCATGTGCTACTGGGCCATGCTGTGGCTTACTGCATCAAAGTAAAGACAAACAAATGGCCCCTCCATTATATCCAGAGAAGGGTGACAATGCGGAAAAGGCCCAGTGAATGAGCTTACCATATCTTCCCTTGTACATCCCACTGCCATTCTCAGACCATTTGAGTCCTAAAGTGCAAGGACCTCCCTCTGGCCCATGATCACAGATAAAGTAATCAGCTAAACCACCACTCTGAACCACACATCTATTTGCATCCCAATTAATAAATGAAAGACATCCTAAAATACAGTAAAACCAGAATGGCAGGATTTTCAAAGTAAATTCTGGTTTAGAACAATACCAAAAATCTATATTGCCAGAGGACATTCACATTCTCTATTCTCTTATTTGATCTTCGAGGCAACATTATAAGTGGAAAGAGCATCATGAAGCCCATTTTACAGGTGAGGAAACTGAGACTCCAAGAGGTTAAAGTGGATTCTCTCAAACTCAGTAAATGAGTAGCAAAATCTAGATTAGAATTCAATCCTGACTCTCTGCACTAAGTGGTATTCTTAGAACAGGCAAAATATCCCTTAGGAAAGACTCCTGCTCCCTTCCCATCATCTCTCTTCAATAGTAGGAGCCCTCATCCTGGAATCCAAGGGCAGCCTGCTTCATAACATTTGCTACTGGTATCTTAGTGCTTTTCATCTTCAAAAGTGCTTTGAACAAACATTAATTACTCCTCACAATGCTCCCAAGAGAGGGAGGTAAGTACCATCTTTCCCCATTCTTCATCTGGGACGGATAAAAAGGCAAAAAGGTGAAGTGAACTTGCCAAAAGCCACAGGCAGAGTTGGAGTTAAGCAGGGGCTTCCAACAGATTCTTCTCTACTTTTCCAAATGGCAATTTTTTAAAAAAGGCTCACAATCCTTTTGTGGAGAATTCCGTTATTTAATTCATAATTACAGATATTTTTCCTTTGTCTCACTCTCTATCTATCCCGTCAGCCTCAATTTGGAAACCAAGGAGACCCAGACATTTTAAAGAGGGGAGGAGAGGTAATATTTGTTATGGCTTTGAAGATAAACATCAAATGAATTAAGCTACTACTACATTTAAAATTTCTACTGTAGGAGAGCATTTCTTGCTGCCACTTTTTTAAAGTTCCAAATACATAAGACTAGGTAGGAACACTTTGTTTAAAAAAAAAAAGGAATCAACAGATCAATAAGAATATGCCTAGTTAGATGATAAGTATATTTCTTTGTCTTGAGCTACAAAATGAATTCATTCATAAAGACACATCAAATCATTTTAATTTGGGGGGGAGGGTTAAGAAGCTCAAAAACTAGAATGGAGAGGGTTTGGGACGGTATATATGCCTTTGTTAACATCTCTAATCCCAGCACAGCCTACAGGCTAATGAAACATCTAAGAAGATCAGGATGGTTCCCTAGTGGGCAGATGGGTGTTAGTAGTTTAATGAAAAGGCAGCAGCTCCTCTTGGAGACCTGGAGGTCAGTGCACAAATCTCTTTCCATGTTAATCCTCCTCCCCTTGAAGTTCTACTCGTCCATCATGGCTACATCTGACCAACCCTTCCTCACCACCATCACCACCACCACTACCAAAAAAAAAATCCACCACTTCCAAAGAATAACTCTTTCCCCTTCCCCTCCCTACCAGCTGGTAAGGATGGCAAATCTAACCTGCCAGTCTGATTGTTCCCCCTTTAAGAAAGAGGGAAAAAAATTAAATGTCACATCAAAAACTTCATTCATCTTTTGATCCTCTGGGCTGCCTGAGTTGCACGCAGATCATTTGAAACCCACATGTGGAGTCATATAACTTGCAGGACATCCATGAACTCCAGTCACTGCCAGACCCGGAACTACACTGTCTCTCCCTAGAAGACAACTCCACAGAACCACTTACTCCACTGGGAATGATTGTCTACCAAGAAATCTCAGAACTTCATCCACAAAGGAGAAGAAAGACTTAACCAGTAAGATCCACAGAAGGCATCCTAGGTCCCCAGGGCCTGGAACAAGAACAAGACTATCCCAAAAGATAGTCATTTTCCTAGTAACTAGGTGTGTGACCTGGCACATGATCTTAGAGGAGAAACTAGGAAACCCTCCTGTAGGCTTTGCTCACTAGAAATCTCCCTGAAAAGGGGGGGGGGGTACTTTGAGAAATGCTGCCCCAAATGACCAGTAACTCACTGCTCTAGTCTCTAAACAGTTCCCAATGGCAGTTTTAACCAAGACCAAAAAGAAAAGGAAAACCAGAGAACACAAATTTGACTCCACTCTGCTTTATAAAACAGAAAAGTCTGGAAGAGTCAGCTCCCTAGGGAGCTCTGATGTAGCTTTCTTCTTCTTTAGCCTCCTCCCACTACAGTAAGCAGCCCCACAGTCCTTTTTTCATCAGGAGCCCCAGAGTCCACCAGCCCAGCCTTGACCTCTGCACCAACAGCTGTTGCCACTGGGAAACTGCCCTAACTCCTCTCCAATCCTATTTCTGAACTCTTCCCCCTCCTGCATGCATACAAATTATAGCAGGTGAAACAGACAACCGCCACCCCCATCCCTCTCCATGCATACCATGCACAAAAGCAGAGGCCAAAGTGGCCCCCTGACTCTTGACCTGGACTCCTTCAGAAATAGCCCCCTGGCTCTACTCTATTTCTTCTGTCTAGCCCATGACCTAAGCTGAGACTCCTCTTCTTCGGCAAGGAGGGGAGAATGGCTCTGAGGTACCTCCAGAAGAGAAGTAGGAAGTCATTCCTGTCCCCAGACAACTTTAATCTTGAGAAATATGCCTTATCCTTCCTGCCTTTCCTGGGCCTCCTCCCTATGCCATCTCAAGAAGGGACATCTAGTGCTAACTCAACTCTCCTGGGGAGCTGAAGGGGCTAGTTACCATCCCCACTTTCCAATAGCCCCAAGACAGTTGGCATCACTCCGCACAGTAAGGGGATGAGAGAGAGAGAGAGAGAGAGAGAGAGAGAGAGAGAGAGAGAGAGAGAGAGAGAGAGAGAGAGAGAGAGAGAGAATATATGGGAATATCCTGGTGGGGGCGGTCGGAAGGAGGAGATAGACCCTGGGCACATTTGTGAAGCCAGAGTCCTCTTTTGGAGGAGAAGGGAAGGGCCAGCGAAAAGGAGTGAGCTAGGAACCGGCATCGCGCTGCCTTCACTAGACAGAAGGAAGGACCGGAAGAAAGAAAGAAAAGATGCAGCAGAGCAGAAGGGATTCTAGGACACCAAAGGAAGGTGAGGGAAGAGGTCCGTACCCGGGTGCCGCTGGAGAAGCCGCCCACCACCCGGGGCTGCCGGGATCCTGGGCCACTGCTGGGGTAGCGTTGCTTCCCGATCCAGTCTTCGATCCCCTTCCTAGCCCAGGAGGCGTTCACTGCGAAGCTGTCACCTAGGACACAGCACAGCCTGTTTGAGACCCTAACCCCAACATCAACCTTCTCCCTCTTCCTACCCCCAGTGCAGTACATCACCCCTAAAGTTACATAGGGAGCAGGAGTCGGGGAGAGAAGAAAGGTAAAGGGGACTAAGAGGAAGAGAAGAACAAGGAAGGAGGCAGAAGAGAGAAAAGAAAACAGGGGGGGAAGGAGAAAAGACAGAAGAAAGGGAGAACAGAAGTGAGTAAGAAGAACAAGGAGAAAAGGGAGAAAGGGAAAGATAAAGGGATACAGAACGAAACGGACAAGAAGACAAGAAAAGGGAGAGGAGTGCAGAGGAGGGAGGAACAGAGGGATGACCAGGAGGAAAGACAGGGCGAGAGACCAGAGTTGACAAGCAGAAACAAGGAGGGAATGAAGTCAGGCAAAGGCAGAGGAATAGACAGCTAGATAGTAAGGTCCGGGGACGAGAGCCGGGACAGGTTCGAGGACAGCGCCGAGAGGGGCAGAGGCCGGAGCCGGCCCAGGAGCGGAAAGCTGAAGGCGGCGGAGGCGGCGGTGGCGGAGCAGGAGGAGGAGAAGGAAAGGAGGGTGGGCTGAGGGAAGAGCAGGGAAGGGGGGCGGGAGGGGAAAGACCCAGAGAAAGGAGGAGGGTCAGAAAGTTTGCCCCGGGGCGGGGAGCCATCATCCCTACCTTCGGGGCTCTCCCTGCGCTTACACACGGCAGCTGGGCAGATCCGAGGCGGCGGGCGGGAGCAGGAAAGAAAGGGAGAGGGAGAGAGTTAGCGATCGCGGCTCGGCGGGCTGGACTGGGCAGGGCTGGGCAGGGCAGGGCAGGGCAGGGCAGGGAGAAGAGGAAGAAGGAGGAAGAAGAGAAGGAGGAGGAAGAGGAGGCGGAGGAGGAAGAGGAGAAGGAGAGGGAGCCCGAGCCCGAGCCCAGTTCCCGGGGCCGGGGCTGGGGGTTGCGGGAGACACTGACCGTGTTTGGAGTGAAGTTTGCCCATGGTGCGGCTGGGCGGACACCGGCCCGAGAGGGCGCCGGGTTAATCCATGTGTCCCGGCCCCTGGCCCAGTCTCCCCGCCGGGCTTCTCCTCTCCTGTCCTCTCCTCTCCTGCCCTCTCCTCTCCTCTCCCTCCCTCTCTCTCTCTCTCTCTCTCTCTCTCTCCCTCTTTCTCCCAAAGACAGAGGCGGTACCAGGACGAGCTCCCTCCAGCCCCGCGGCTGCCTGATTGACGCCTCCTTGCGCTGAGCCCCCAGCCCGACGCCTCCTCCGCGAGCCCATTGGGCCGCGGCGGTGCATCAAAGAGGAGCCCGGAATGGGGAGGGGGGCGGAGACTGGCGGGGGCCGGACTCCCCGCAGGGAGGAGGGAGCGGAGCTGCGGCCCGCCTGGGGGTGGGTGGGGGGGAGCGAGATGCTGCCCTCATCACCAGCCCTCCACTCCACCCCACCCCAGTCCTTCCCTGTCCCGACAGCTGGCCCCTGCTAACGCTTCACCAACCGACCCCCTGCTAGGGGAGATCTAAATCAGGTCCCACCTAGCCTCTCCTGCTGGGGCGCCGTCCTATAAAGTCATTACTCCCCCCCTCCTCCACCCAGTAAGGGATCCTACTGCTGCCCTACACACACACACACACACACACACACACACACACACACACACACACACACACACACACACACACACACACCCCCTTACTGGTTGGGATAGGGGACGTGGCCTCACCGGTCAGACACGTCCCTTCCCTTGGGCCAAGAAGAGGAGGAAGGAGGAAAGTACGTATGTTGATCTTATAAATCACTACGGTACATTTGTATAGTACTTTTTTAAGTTTCCAAAGCACTTACACAAACAGTATCTCACCTGAACCTCACCACCTCCAAGATAGGCAGGGACGGAATCATTTCCCCCATTTTAAAGGTGAGGAAACCGATGCTGAGAGGAGAATATCTTACCCAAGGTGACCGGATAAAGGTGCAAAAAATCAGAGCAGACCCCAGTAAGTCCTAATCCAGTGTTCTTTCCACTTGCAAGACATTGCTTTCCTGATGAAGCAGGGCATTTCATCATTGTTGCTAAAAATTACTGTTCCTAGGATATTATTACTGTATTAATTTGTTATCACCCATCTGCATTAGTGGAGGGAGTTTCTACACTATAAGTTCCCTAATGCTGAAGAAATTGCAAGTTTAGCCCCAAAAAAATTTTTTTTGAACAAAACCAATGTAATCTCTCTGGTGCCAGGATAGGAACTATAGGCTGAGTATATTACAATAGTCCATGCCTTGGCTAGAGGTCTCTGGGTGACATGGCAGATATCTAGAAGTCTTGCCTTTCCCCTGCTATTAAAAGAGATTCCCTTGTCCATCAGAAGTCCACTAATGTACAGTTAGTATCCTAGTCACAAAGGCAATATCTGTTTTTACTTTGATCTTCCTCAGTTTCCAGAGCCACACAACTGTTTATTTCACCTGAATGAAATTTTGTGATGTTTCTTCTGAGTTAAGCAGTTTCAGCAATAACCACTGCATTTGTTTTATCAAAGGGAAAAAATGTCTGTTCTGCTGGACAGGCTAAAATCTAAGAGTTGGAACGAACCTCTGAGGTCATTCAGTACCACCCCTATCTGAAGCAGAACTCCCTAAGAAGTGGGCATCTAGCCTCTGCTTGTGGTAATGGGGAACTCACTCCCTCAAAAGGGAGCACATTCCATGTTTAGACAGCTTTAATTCTTAGAAATTGCTTCCTTATAATTGAGCTAAAATCTGCCTCCAGCTTCTACCATTGGTCCCGTTTCTACCACCTGGAGTCAAGCAAAAAAAATCTACTTGATGGTCTATTGATGGGACTCTATCCCAATACATCTTATAGCACTTATTTTCTAATACATTCTTAAATTCATGCTTCTAGTTCCATGTTCATTTAATCTTCCTCTAGTTGTGGGCTGATTTGGATTAATTCAACAAATATTTGTTGAGCGCCTAGGTGCTTGGGATACTTCACAAATGAGATATATTCCCTGTCCTATGGAACTTTTGGACTGGTAGGAAAGAAAAAACTATTACATATCTAAGAATATGATGGGGGAAGCTATAGTGTCCTGGAAAGAGCTCCAAGATTCCAAGACAGGAGAACAGAAGATCAAATCTTGGTTCCTGTACTTCCCCCATTCTGTGCCTATTTCCTTATCTGTAAAATGGGCATAATAGTGCTTTCATTACCTGCCTCACAGGGTTGTTATGAGGAAAGTACTTTATAAACTCAAAATTCCTACAGAAATGTGTTATTATGATAAAAGACATAGGGAGGTTCAAGCCAAAGTTCCATCCTTATCCTTTTTAACCCTTCTGTAGCTTTTGACACTCTTAACCACTTGTTCTTCCTTGATCCTCTCTCTTCCTTTGGCTTCCATGGACACCACTCTATCTTCATTCTCCTCCTGCCTGCCTAATTGCTTCTTCTCAGTTTCCTCTGCTAGATTATTCCTCCCAGTGTGTGCATCCTACAAGTCTCTGTCATTGACTCTCTCTTCTCTCCACATTTTCTTCCATGACGATCTCATCAGCTCCCATGGATTCAACTATCATCTCTATGCAGATGTCTCTCAAATGCATGTAACCAATTCTAATCTTTGTCATGAATTCCATTCTTTAGTACTTACTGCCTGTAGGACCTCTCCATCCAGATCAGGTCCTAGCAGAATCTCAAATTCGATATGTCCAAAACAGAACTCATATTTCTTCTACCACTCATCTTTCCTCCAAATTCCTTTATTTCTCTTATAGGCACTACTATCCTTCTAGTCACCCAGGTTAGCAATATAAACATCACCTCCAACACATCCCTCTCCCTCTGAAAGGCCCTGGGACTCATTCCCCATCTGAAATCTGCTGCCCAGTCTTATTGATCCTAATTCCACAATACCTCTCACATCAGTCCCTTTCCACTTAAAAAGCTGAATTTTACTCTATTTCAGGCCTTTTGCCTGTTTTAGTCTCCCTGCTTCTAGTATCCCTTTTCTCCAATCCATCCAAATGGGCATACCTAAAACACAACTCTGACCATCTCACTCCTCTACTCAAAGTCTTCAGTGGCTCCACATTGCTTCTAGGATAAAATGTAAAACCCTCATCCCAGTATTTAAAGCCCTTCACAATCTGGCTTCCCAACTGTCTTTCCAATCATATTTCATAGTACTCCCTTTTGGACGTTCTTTACCTCAGTCAAATTAGCTTACTAGATATATCCTGGACTTGATGTTACAACTACCTCTTCTATATCTTTGTTCAGGCTATCAGTTTTGGAAGGTTCTCCCTCCTTACTTTCACCTCTTAAGATCTCCAGCTTCCTTTAAATTATAACTCAGGTGCCATCTCTTGCGTGAAGCCTTTCTTAATCCCCTCAGTCATCAGTGATCTTTCTTTCTTGAAATTACTTTATCTATAATTTTAGTTTACTTTATGTTTAGTTTACCATCTTTCTTGCATATGTTATATCTTCTTTGCCACCCCCTTGCCCAAGAGAATATAAGCTCCTAAAAGGCAGCGACTCTTTGTTTTTGCCCACCCAAAAGGAGTGCCTTGCCCATTATAGGCTCTGGAAATGGCTTTTGAACTGAATTAAATTGGGAGTTCAGAGTAGGAAGAGACCATGTAGTATTATAGGGATCAGGGAAAGCATCGTGGAAATGGAAACATTTCAGATGGGCCTTGAAGCATGGGTAAAACTTTGACAGGCCAACATGCAGAGGGAGGTATTGCAGGGAGCAGCATGAGCTGAGATGTGCAGTGGAGGAAAGAGCCAAGTGTGTTTCCTCCTGAAACATAATTGTGCCTGTAGAAATAATTCACAGCTTCTAAGGCAGTATATCAAGTGATGACATGTAATGGTTACATTAGTCACCATCTATCTTTTGCATCCATCAATCAGGGTTTCCTTGATTACATGCTTGAGATCATTGTAAGAGGCAATCACCCTTCACCCTACCCTGAATCACCTGGACTCATTCATTCATTCCTTTGACATATATTTATTAAGCATCTACTACTATATGCAATTCGGGGAGGGGATGCACCAAGGAGAAAGAAGTTGATGCTAATAGCAATAGCTAAAACTTCTATTTATTTATGACTATATCTGTCACTACTGATTCTGGTGCTATCCTTGTGGGAAGAAACCTGAATAGAGACAGACAGCAGCTACCTCCACCAGCAAAGTAGTGATCCTAATGATGGGCATTTCAGATGTTTTGGTAGGCCTGCCCCCAAGGTGAGGAAAATAAGTTAGTCTGAGTGCTTAGGAACTCAAATGGCTTTGTCCCCTCTTTACATACGCCATAATTTCTGGGGAGGGGAAAGGGGATGGAGAAGGAATGTGCTTAATAAGTATTTGCTGAATTGAGCTAAGGTCTCCTGGAGTCTACCATTGAAAGCTACCATTAAAATGCAGATGCTACCTTAGAGAAAGCACCTTAGCAAATCATAGGACTTCTATTCAGAGAATAGAATCAGAGTTCATTCTCTACCTTCATACAGCTTCCAAAATCATGTGGAGGAACACATAGATCCAGTCAGGTCACTTCTTTGCTCAAGAGACTTCAGTGATTTCTATTAGTACTCAGTCAAGTTCACACTCTTCTAACTGACATTCAAGGCTGTCCACAATCTATCACCATCCTACCTTGCCAGCCTTGTTTCATATTACTCTCCTCCTCACATTCTATGTGCCAGCCAAACTCACCCACTTTCTTTACCTGCAACACATGCAGAACTCTTATACTCCCTTGCTTTTTTTTTGACTCTGGCTCTTTCCTCTGGCGTGCCTTCCTTTCGTCCCCCTCTTCCCTTTGGAATTCTTAAGGAGGTTGCATGCCTCCCCTAGGAGGTCTTCTCTGATCTCCCACATTGGTAATGACTTTCCCCCTCAGACTTGAGTCTCTTTAAGACACCGATTGTGGAATTATAGCTCTGTGTTTATGTCATCTTCCTATTAGACTGTAAGTTGTTTGAGGCACAGACTCCAACTTATCAAAACTATGTATCTCCCCCAAGTCCTGACACAGTGCTCGGCACACAATACACAGAAGTGTTTATTGTATTTTTCTTCATATCTAGTAGAGATCATCCAGTCTAAACCTTTCGTTTTACATATGGGGGGGAAAAGAACTACAGATTGTATTTAAAATGCACAAAAGAGAACAAAAGAAAGACCAGAACAAAGCAGGACTGCTTTGAAAGTCACATGTTGAATTTATTTTATATTTTAAAAGAATGGGAAGGTGAACATA